ATATACATTTGTTTCCTTTTGTACAAAATAATAAATTAAAAGTAATAATATTTTACCGTTTTCATGGTAACAAATTAATGACAGGAATAATCCAGGTAGCTGCGGGTTTTATTATCGGATTCGAGTAATTAATTTTATTATCGCAAAACGTTGCTGCGTTAAGCTTATCTTGTAATAGAGCCGTCTTGTTCGCGAAATTCAGAACTAAATTAGAATATCTTGCGCATCGATCAGACGGCAAATCAATTTCACGAAGCTTCCACTTCAGCGGCCCCCGATATTTGCGCAAATAAGCATGACCTGGGGCGCTACGTAAATAAGTTCGATTTATTCGAATCGAAAGAAGCTGACAGCTCACTAGAGAATTACGTCACACTGTGGCTTTAAGAAATTTAGTGGATGTTTCGCGTTGAGTGCATACCCTCGTTACCCGACTGGGCCCCCCCCCCCTCAGTTTCTACGCCACTGACGCAAGTTATATACAGTCCGTGCATACATCACACGCATGTGCTTTTGTTGCACGTGGCCAAAGAAAATGCCAGCTGATTTACAGCCGGCATTTACTTTGAGAGCATTCCCTTCTTACTGAAGATAAATCGACAGAAGCCGCGCATTTACTTCTCCTGTCTTTTCTTCCATACCCTAAGATTTACACTTGAAGATACTTAAATCTACTAACGCGCGCGAAAGCTATCCCCGCAGCGCGCGGAGATTTCTACATCTGCTATTTCATTTCAAAAATGCACGCCAGCCGCGATTTACTTTCTTATATTCTCTAAATGAATTTATCTATTCAATTTCCATTCCTTTTTCTCTTCGCCCTCTCCTTCTTTATGAAATTTATTTTTCGGTTAAATGAGATGTCATCGATCAGACGGAAAATTAAACGTTAATTTTTGTCGGCAGTGATAGTTTATTCTCTCGCGATTGCTATTGTAACACGAATGAAATACACCGAGGACAAAACGCGCGTCGTTCGATGAAACCAGAGAAATACGATACAAATAAATAAATCATACTTTCCGGCAGACAAGATATTACAAGCGTAAGCCCCGTCTCGAGAATCTGCTACTCGGTTAGATTATCGTTTCACCACAAGATTCAGTGCCCTCCCTCGAGCTTATTTCCATTTACATTCGCCGCTACCACTCGTGAGACCCTTCTTTTACGACTGGCCGAGTACCATCATAACTGGTGCTGCTTCAAACATCCTTTTACTTGGATATCCCGTGCTGAAAATTTTTTATTACATTCACAGAGAAGGCAGTAAAACAGCGGAGGTCCCGGTGTACGGTCGCATGCACCTTGATATTTTCCCTGTAAAATGGTTGGTCGACCTTAATCAGACATAGCAGTCGAAAATCTGCATTACGAAGCCGTACTTTATATTATATTGCACAAGTGTATACAATACACTAATTAAAAATAGTAACTTTTAACTTTTCGTGATAAACGAAAGTTTACTCGCATAATTGATGACTCTGATATCGAGACACTGTATACGCAAAAAGGCAACCGTAATGACGTATAATCGGCGAAAGTCTTTTCAAACCTGATAAGTAGAGCACAGCACTTAATTACCGAAAGCTTTTACATTCGTGGAAACGCTTGTTGAAGATACAATCATACTCGCATTGTTGGTTTGCGAGGACACCTTTGCGAAAATGAGGAAAGCGCGAAGTTGATTTTAACCCAGTTTGTAAATCCTATTAAAAAGTATAACGGCGTCTCTCTGTAAAACTGAAACTTCTTAAATGTCCCCGCGAGACTGATGGTATTCAGCGATCAAATTCAGTGACCCATTTTCATAATATGGACAGACAGTTTCAATATTTTTAGGACAGATAAAAAGGAAGTGACGTTATGACAGTTCTAATATTATCTTAGTCAGATTGATATTGCTGGATAAATTTTGCAACGTTGATATATGCATAATTAATTAACTAGAGTTATTATGCAACAGTCTTGTGTGGTATCGAGACCTCGAATGATGTATTTTTGGTTCTGCACACATACCTAAAAAGACATTACCGGGATATTACGATAGCATACAGTGCACATTGATGTTTTCAATTAAACCACGCGCGACCAAATCTACTAATTGTGTAAATCAACAGCTTGGCTTAATCATAAAATGACTGAAATTAATTCCGACGCGCGCAGAAGGACAAATGTTACACGATGAAATTTTACGTTGCGTACGAAAAAAAACACTCAACGTGGTTTTTTATACAGTGATGATTTAGCAAAACTATACTTCATGCCAAACAACAATAATTCGATCTGACTCATATGAAGTGTTACTATGCAACCTATTGTTAGCATGAAACAAGAGAACCTATATTATAGATCAATAGTAGTTATAACTTTCTAATTTTTTTTAACCTGTCGTGCATTGCATAACGTGAATTTTGGCAAACTCCAGTTTAGGCAATCTAAAAAAAAATACCAATCTGATAAAATGATGTTTACATCATTGGAGTGTACATTTGATCTTTAATTAGCATTAATTCTTTGATAAAGATACATGCAACTTTTGAGATTTTCTCATGTAAAGCGCAGTCGGTTGGCAACTATATGGCGGTTTGTGCGCATTCGGTATTTTATACGACATTGCGACGATGCGTAGAATGTATGAGAGAAATTAGTCAGACGAGGTAGTGCTACCTCAGGAATTTCATATTCATCCCACATCTGCGAGACCAAATTATATCCGTGGTGTCCCGCGTAATCGCCCAAAATCGTTGGTGCTCGAATCGCATTTGGCAGTTACAAGTGTATAACCAATTTTCCCAAAACGCAGAACGTTTATTTTACGTCGAGAATTATGACATCGATGTCGACACGAATTGAAAAAAAGGTAAAAAAGTTGTAGTATTAAAAATTGAGTGATTGTAACGAACAATTTGCGAAACATCCAAGAAAATTTATCCATGGCACTGCGTAAAATCGTTCTTGCTTATTCGTTCCTAAAATCATGTATATAATTATGAGAATCGCAAATATATTTGCATTGTAAAATTCTAAACTACGACAAATATTTATACAAACGCGTGAGGGCATATATCCATGAAAAAATGTGCTTTTATATTGTTCAAATAAAAACCTAATATGTGTAAACGCGAAGGTGATGGAAATTTTTAAATATTTCACATTTTCGTAAAAATTTATCAAATTCGCTGTTAATAAAACGTCATTTTGTAAGCATTAAACTGGTCCATATAGGGTAATCTTGCATCAATATGGTAAATAGTAATCAGCTCAAGGGCTTTATATGTTTCTCTATATGCAGAATGCAACCTAATTATGACAAACATATCGCATAATTTCGTCGAAATCATTAAAGCGCGAATAATACAGCCGGAAATATGAAATCCTAATTTCATTTGATATAGTATCACAGTATAACTAATTGTTTATTACTCACAAGAGCAAACAAACTTGCCCAACTAAAAGCAGGATTAACAAATGGAACAATCTCTCATTGTGTAATATAACACATTTGTATAATACACATAAAATTTACGTAATATATCTCAAAGAATAATTAAAAAATATATGTATATTATTAAAATCTACCGGAGAATTAAAGAAAGAATTAAAAAAAGACGGAACGAAATTGCGAGTCATTAACTAAACGTAAATATATAGGATCTTCCGATATTCGTAATTATATGAACGTTTATATTAATTATATTTGCAAATAATAGCGTCAATCCATATTTTTATAATAATATTTTCGTGTTTTATGCGACGAATAGAAACATTTTCTTGTAACTGTGACAACGGCGTCTTGCAGTAACAGCGCAGCATCAGCGCATAAAAAGATTAATTATGGAATAAAGTTGCATCTTAACTTTTTCTTAGTATCTCATCATATTTCAACGTAATTTATTACAAAGAAAATCTTATCTAAGGCCACCATGTCACTCGAGGCTCTCTGTGATATCGCAAAACAACGCCCGTGAGAATTTGGTCGAAGCTCGTTATCTCGTTACGCACTTGTTCCACACAATCACGTATTCTGGACAGAATTTTTTTGTTGATGAAGAAAAATTGAAGAAAAAGTTCTCGTTACATGTTCATCTTCCGATATCAGCAAAAAAATCTTAAAAACATTTAATTATGAGGATCATTTATTATCAGTTTTCGAGCTCAATATTTATATTTAATATATAGAATCGATTTACAAAATTATTAGCTGATATTTAAAAGAACGTCGCATTCGGAGAACAAAGTTGAAATGCATTTGCGTTCGGAGTAAATACGAAGGCATTCCTGATACTCGGAATAATGAGCGAGACGTACGAGCGCACTAGTACGCATCTCGCTTATACTTCCCAGTTATCCTCGACGATTTCATTCGACGCGCCGAGCTTCAGAAGCTATTGCATAGACATAGACGTTTCGAATTACTCCCCCCCCCCCCCTACGCGAGAACCGACCAACTCTCTCGCGCACGAGAGCCACATTTCGCCGAGTAAGAGGCACGCACCACAAATCCGCGCTACGTGGAATACCAGCACCAGTAGCCTAGTAGTCGCGTTACTCTACGTGTGGGGAAACAAGAGAGAACAATCTCCGCGTCCGACCGTCGCAACGCGTCGCGTCGCGCGGCGGCGGAGGCGGTGATGACGGCAGCGAAACTCGTTAAACTTCCCCGCACACGCGAAACGGAGAGCGCGCGCTTGCGGGTAACAAAATTCCTACCGCTCCGGGGGGTGGGGCGGGGAGTAGTCGCAGTTCATACGAGGGATTCAATTAGCATCGCGGCGGCGGTGAATTTAGCACTCGCGGAGGGACGAAACTCCGTCGCGGATAAATTCAGATGTACCCCGCGGATAATAATCGTAGGATCAAACCCCCCTTTGTTTTGTCGATGATCATCTCTCGTATCTCGCGAACGAGATACGGGGAACCGATAAGTGTGCCCCCCGCGCACACCGCGGAGACCCGCGCGGTTTGTAAAACGCGTGTACGATTCCTGATTTCCCACTCACCGGATGCAACGGCGGGGTTGTCGGTCCATGCACTTCCCGCGATCGTGGACAGCAGCACGGCGCCAGTCAACAGCCGGAGTCGGCCTCGCGCGGTTCCCGGGACACGTCGATCACGTTGCTCACTGATCATCGCGGTACCGGATGGACGAGAGGGTGCGCGACCGGCATCCCGACTGAGGGGTTGGTACCCGAGAGCGTGTTTCTCTACCTCCAGTCGCGTCATCCCCTCTCGTTTTCCCGCCACGCGCAGACGCCTCCGCTACTGTCGGGGCTTCCGCCGACTCTTGAGCCACCCCCTGCCCCCCATCCCCCACCGGCCCTCTCCCCCGTCTTAATCCCACTCACTTATCTCTTATCAATAGGTGACGATTAATTATCCCTCTACCCTTACGCGTCGCAGCCGCTGCGCTTTCGAGGTCGCTCACAACCTGTGGCACGCCTCATCTCCGGGGTACTTGGGGTATGTCTTTTGGCATGAGCCCTGAGGACGGCAGATATGAACGCAAGAATAATATCACTTCCGTCGACGCCGAGAGAGTTGGTTTGGCTTGCGCCCGATTTATGGTTAGTCGCGATCGTAATATGCGCGTTCGGAGGATTCTGGGGAGGGGGAAGGGGTTTCGAGAGGGCTCGGCGATAAATAAAGTTTTGCCCGAACTTATAAAAGAATTTATTAAAACTGCAATTCCCGCCTCGCGCGGTGCATACGCGCGCTAAATTTGGAAACAGACGCAAGTATACGTAACTATACGTGATATAATTTTGCATAGAAAGAGAATGGAAAACATAAATTGAGTTTAGTAGATGAGTCGAGGCTGGTTGGAAATTGAGTTAAAATTACATGAGTAATTATCTCTCTATCCGCGGTACTGTCGTGCTGAGTTAACATTATTCAACAAAATGAAGAGTAATTACCATATTTGTGTTAAAAATCTTACCATTACTTTAGAAAAAAAAACTCGATATTTTTTCTTAATCTGTTTAGGGAGGAGATCCCTTGCGAATTGACATGATGCAAAAGTTATAACATAAGTTTTAAGTTTAAACGACTAGATATAACGGCGATCTAGAGGGAGGGATCGCTTTAAAGTCTAAGTAAAATTAATTTCCTTCTCAAAACAAACACGCTAAAAACTGAGGGCTATACAATTTGCAATTAGAATTGACCCTTTATTTATCTAAAACTTAAAACTCTAGGATGCAAAATAACTTTTTAGTGTAATTACAACTTTTCTATAGCGTTCATTAACTACGCGTTTATTGCAATAATCCTTTTAATCTGCATTCCGTTTCTCTTATAAGATTAGATGTAATAGCTGTGCAGCATGCCTGAAGTTTCTTTCATGATAACTTCTATCGCGGAATAATGGCGTCATTATTGTGATCATTACTGTAGAACGTAAAATTGATAAGAATTTAAAAATATACTAGATACGTTTAAGATACGTTTTATTTTTATTGATATATGCTCAAAACATCGAAAAATGGCAAAGGTGAAAGGCAAACATGATAAATATTTTTTGTCGTAATCAACGATTTATTGCACATATTTTCTAATATATCGCGAACACGGACATATTAAAGATATATTATGTGATGTGAAATACATGATATTGCGCATGTAGCTTTCATCTATTGACTGCAGATATTAGTTTGGCTGTTACGTAAGCGCAATTTGGAAGTTCATACATATTCAGTCAATCCACTCGCCTTTACGTGGAATAAACGATAAAGATAATTGATCATGTGAAATATCGATTAGCTATATCGGGAATAGTTTAATGGATTTTGCTAGAAAGCGTGATTAATAAACCTCGCAAAGGAAATGCGATTTTCATTGACATATGATGGACGGAAGATATATTTTTGGATCGGTCCTTAATTGCTTATTCCACAAAACATAATCGCAATATAATGAATCGCGCCTCTGATAGTGAGATTTGATTGATGTTCGCACAGTAACTGATATATATAAGTTGTGCAAACATTTGGAAGAAAATATATCCGCGTTTGATTTTTCCTTTTTCATCTTTCACGATATCTCTGCCGATATTGACATCATTTCGACTTTAACAGCTTCCGGCCAGTCACACATTACGCGTTTAGCTCGCGGCGTGTAACGTGATAAAACACGATTCCTATATTTTCATTTCAACATCCGAATGAAGTCATTGCGCATTATACTTCTCACTCATAATTTATATTTATGCATTTTGAAGCTGCAACACATAGCGTAACCATTAAAATCAAAGATTACGGATATTAAACGTTGATTCACGATTGAGCAAAACATTCGTAAATATTTCGCGGTGTAATGCGCGCAAACGGCGAAATATGTATATATTATATTTTAATGTTACAAACGATTGCAATATCATCGACGGCGAGCTATTTAAAATTTGATCTATCCCAATAAAACGTGTTTCCCTCGTTTCCATATGATAACGAATGCATTAATCGTAGATTATATTTTGCGGCGATTTGGCGTCCCGCTCGATGTTGCGGCAAGATAAACAGGCGTAAACGGTCTCTCGTAATCGTTGCTTCCGCGCGTTCAGACCTGGCCTGGGCGAGGGAAATCTCACGCGAGGTGAATAATGTTCCGACGGAGGTGCGGATTGCAATATCGCGGTGGCGTATGGAAGAACGCTGTGCACCAGATACGCGAGTTCTTGCGGCACTCGTGCTGGAAGGCGTGTCAGGAGACTCCAGGGCGCCAGAAGACGCACTGCCATTGTAGCCCCCAACTTCTGTGTGACGACAGTGGTCCTCCGTTGCTTTTCCACCACACCTCTCTCTCTCTCTCTTCTCTCTCTCTCTCGCTCTTTCGTCGCTTACCTCCCGCTGCCGCCTTCCATGCTCCTGTCGCGCGCGTCTGTCCTCACGTACGTGTAAACCCCTGCCGGCCGAATATTGTCTGCCAGCGCGGTATTTCAGTTAGCTCGTGTGTGCGGTCCGAGGAGTCCACTCCGTTTTCGGACGTGCATCCGAGTGCAGTATACCACGGTATGCTCTATAAATGCAGTTTGCCACCGAGGCGAGGCGTGTAAAGTGGATGTAGGGTAGAGTTCTAAACAGTAATTCTGACCTATAATTTTCAAGACAAGCCGTTTGAAACTTTCGAAACGCGCGTGGTATTTAATAAGCGCGGCATATACCTTGGATTAAGGGAAATACATGTAAATCATGCGCGCGCGAGAGCCAACCGGACTTAATCTATAAAGATGTGAAATCTCTATCGAGGTAGTTAGTGGCATACCGCCAGAAGGGTTATTGCCAAGTAACGAGCAAAGAAGGAAACGGGAAACTTTCTATTGCTAATAACTATATTTCAATTTGCAGCTTATTTAAAGAAGAGAGAATTTTGCTTGTTTTAAACTATTTCATCCACAACATTAAATTGAGACTAAGAAGAGTTTTTAAAAGATATTAATAATACACATATAATAATTGATTTTTTAACAGAAGTTTTTAATATGTTTGAATTTATCTAATTTATTGTTATATCTTATAAACTTGATGTTAATCCTAGAAAGCCACACTTTCTGTGAGTCTGTATTACACCCAGCTACTTTTAATTATTGATAACTCTTCGAAAAATATTTTTCTCTATTATTTATATTTTAAACATATTTTTTCTAAATTTAAACGTCAAAATGTCGGAAACGTCTGTGTCATCATAATTAAGATTGATTTTTAAGGAAAAGTTATAATTTCGAAAGAAGCTCGCGCGCGCGAATAGAATTTTCTGAACTTTAAAAACTCTATCTACTTCAAAAAATTACAGTTTTCTTAACGCTGTATTGTATTATATAAAAAGAATAGTCATTTGTTAAAGATAAAGGATGTATAAGAGATGTAGCACATCCAAGACTGATTTTATTGGAATCCCATACATCTACTAAACAGCAGATAGCTGCGCAGCATGGGAAATCATAGAGGGAGAACAAAATTTCTTTTACCTTACATTTCTGACCCCTACCTTTCATCATATAGAAACGGCGGGTGTTTTAATATTAATACCACACTAGGCTTTCTAGGATTAAATATTAATTTAAGGATTTAATACCAATACCACTAGTGTGGCTTTTTAAGATTAAATCGAAACGTAAATGATTAGCCGATACTTAAGAATTACGATTGACATCAGATGACATCGCATTTATAGCTATTGTCTTTCCCTATATATTCTAACCGCATTTAATATCACGCTACGTCACCCATGATTATTTCCACAACTTTCATAATCAGCGTGAGAATGTAGTTTGGTATCGAGACAAAGGGGTCGTAACGTCGTTCTCATTTCCCCTACGAAACACTTTGTCGGCACGCAGCCCGCGTGTTGGCGAACAAGCGGGCTACGTAGCAACGCGGGGAAACGGAAAACGACCACTCCGGAAGCAACAGAGCACGGGTTCGTCGATGTGTTCGGGAACATCAGTGACTTTGCGAGAGAGGCGCTCGCTTCTCTTGTCTGCCTATCCCATAAAGTTACATCTCGCAAATTGCGTTTGTCAACAACAGCTAATTGCCGCCGAGAATGTTACTCGACTATGAAGTGGCTCATAATTATGCTGATGCATCCTATACGGAATTGAATTATTTCGCCAAACGCCCGCGCCGCAAGCGAGCGAAAAGGAGAGAAATCTTAATACACCTTTCCGCTTTTCCGAGGGGGTAACGGCGCGGCGCCGCGCGTCTCGCGCAAAACGAACGGTTGTATTTTTGCGGATCGTACTTCCGGGCGTGTCTGCGGTGAACGCAAACGGGATCGTGACTCACATTCGCCGTCGGCTCTATGCCGCGAGCGAACCGAGCACGCTAAACTGAACCCGCCTCGCTATGGCCGGCAGTCGAAGATTATTATGAATAAATTTGCGCTCTCGCGTGTGGTTCGAACGTCGCCTAAATTTCCGAAATTTGCGATTTTCCAAATAATATGTTAATAAGAATTTGAAATTCGCGTCGTGCTCAGAAGGCATAATTTACCGAGTCCGTAACTTCACTTTTTAATACGTATGCTTCCTAGATTCTTATTCGTAGTATCTTAGAGATACTTCACTTTTCAAGCAAAGTTTTTTATTAGGACAAGATTGCTGCGTAGTGACATTATAGGAAGCATGATCTGCTTTTAACTTGTGCGATTTTTGTTTAATTAGAAATACT